CTCTGTCAGCATGTCCAACAATTTGATTTTTTTTCATTAATTTGTATGCCAATTATATGTAACGCATTTTCCAAAATTTTAAAATAAAGATACTTTATATTTTAAAAAAAATAATATTAGTGGTAAATTTTAGATATTCATAATGACCACATTCATGACAGAGAAAAGAAACAGAAAAGTCTGGTAAGGAGGCTCGACCCCACGTTTGCTCTGTCAGGTTGGCAAACAATTTGATTTTTTTTCATTAATTTGTATGCCAATTATATGTAACGCATTTTCCAAAATTTTAAAATAAAGATACTTTATATTTAAAAAAATTAATATTAGTGGTAAATTTTAGATATTCATAATGACCACATTCATGACAGAGAATATGTACCTATACATAATAATGCATATTGATTTTGTTAATGTTCACTCTGGTGTCAGTTGGTTGTCTTTCTCCAAATAAAATTTGCTCATGTTTCTACATTTCATGACCTATGATTCTACGTCTCCCTTAAAGACCCTATTCACACAAAAGCTGGTCACACTTAAGTACTTCTTTAAAACACGATGCTCTCCTCAAAAATAATGAGGAAAAATAAAATTTTGGTCATATCAGTTTAACTGAGGGCCTAAAATCTTTAATTATGCTTTTGTTTCTGTTTTTGTTTTTATCTAAATGTTTCAGTATCATTATATTCCTCTTGCATATATCAATTCACTAAATAGCTAATAAGCATTCAGTGTGTTATGCATAGCATTAGACCTCTAGGAAAAAGATATCCTCTTGTATTTATTGGCTGATATACTGAGCCAAGTGTAGCCCACCAGGATGAGTCACCATCACAATAGCATTATCAAGAGGTTACATTTTCTTCAAGTCTCTAAAACACCTCCCTTATACAGAAATGATTCCAGTCATGAATATAGTCTGTTGAGTATCAGTCTTTTTGAAATGTGTCATCTGAGAAAAAACTTATGACCCAGAACAGGGTAATGACTAGGTCTCTTTGTTTTTCTGTTACATCCTATTCTTAAATATTCTCTCCCATTCTAGAGATATGATTGACTAGTGGCAGGAATTGGTTGGATTAGGGAACATGAATAGATTATAGCATATTAGCCCACCAGTGGAGGACAAATGTTATAGAAAAAGAGCCAAATATACTGGAGATGGAAAGAACTAGGTTTGAGACTACATTCCAGGATTCCAACCCACTAATTTCTTGGTCTCTGCAAGCTTTTCTTCTTTCCCCTATGACGCAAATATTAGTGGTAAATTTTAGATATTCATAATGACCACATTCATGATACAGAATATGTACCTATACATAATAATGCATATGGATTTTGTTAATGTTCACTCTGATGTCAGTTGGTCCTTTTTCTCCAAGCAAAATTTGCTTGTAAATCAGTAAATCACATCTGTGAGGGTAACTCTGGAAATAAGAGATCATATAGAAGATTTTCATCCATTGTCTGTGTTCCAGGAGCACCAATAGAGAGCCTCTGAATTTCTTCAGAACGGAATCATACCAACAAAGAAGAGTGTGCTGCATATATGTCCATCAATGTCATTGTCCTAACAATGATCTTAGAGGACCTCAATATCAGCTTATTTGGGCTGGTGGGAGCCATATAGTTGTACTTTGGCTCTGGGCTTCACATGTGCAGAATCGCATAACCAGTCTATGTTCTCAACCTAACTGCTACAGACTTCTTCCTCTGAGGACACTTTGTAGTTTCTGTGAACAACTTCCTCTACCTCTTCCACCTTACTTCAATCATCTTTCACCAGATCATATTCCCCATGATCATGTATTTCTACTTTACCGGTTTGAGCATCCTCAGTGCGATTGGTACTGAGCACTGTCTGCTTGTCCAGTGGCCCATTTGATATAGACACCACAGACCAAGATGCCTGTCAGCTGCTGTGTTTTCTCTGCTTTTGTCCTTATCCTTATTGCTGAGTATCCTGGTACTCATACATTGTAACTCAGAATTTAAGTTTTGCTATTATTCTTGATTGACAATGTCTTTCATGACCGCTGCATGACTGATCTTTCTGTTTGTGGTTTTCTGTGAGTCCAGCCTGGCCTTACTGCTCAGGATGCTCTGTGGCTCAAGAAGGTTGCCACTGACTAAGTTATATTTGATTATGGATCTCACAGTGCTGGTCTTCCTCCTCTGTGGCCTGCCTATAGGCATCATGGATTCTCTGTTGTTCTGGTTTACAGATACCAATGATTGGACTTACTATGATTTGATTGCTTTCTTCTTGTCTGGTATCAGTAGTAGCACCAACACACCTCATTTACTTCTTTGCTTCCCCCTTTAAGCACAAATAGAAGCAGAGGCAGCAGAGATTCCTGAAGCTGATCCTGGAGAAGACCTTGGAGAATAAAGTTGAGGTAGACAGAAGTGGAGAAAGCCTTTCTCAGAATAGCATAGAGATATCAGGGTCTCTTTATTTCAGTGATTATATATCCACAAGGTTGTCTGACACAAGTATCACCTCTATAAGACACAGAGAAGATTGTGTATGATCAAACCTTGTAACTATATGCACATATCAATACATTGATATACATATGTAAAGAGGCATGTGTCCTTTTAGTTAAATATTGTGTGTTATAACATTACACCATGCAGCTGAATAGTTGTAATGCAAGCCATGTGCCTGAAAAGACTAACATACTTACTATTCTCACTTTTGTATGCTATAGGTAATCTTAACACATCTCTTGGTTGAAGTGTCCATATAACACTGTTCTCAGTCTCATCCTGGAACCAGAAAGCTAAAAGGGAAGGCAGAACCAAGGATCATGAGCTAAAATGCATGAGAACCAACACTATTCCCTATCAGACTTTACTAACTCCTGCAAGTTGGGTGAGGGAAAATGTGTCTCACTTCATTATGAAGGTAAACACACACAGATTCCAGTGTTCAAAGAAATTAAGGAGCTTTTAATGATAGGTGGAGCAGCTGAAAAGCCATCTGCTGGCTCTTGTGAATGAGATAGATACCATGGAAGAGACAATATCCATAAACACATTAGTACTCTGTGTCAACTTTCCACATGTAAAAGAAAAAGAGACTGATTCAAGATAGCTTGGATAACTGTACTGTGGATACCTACTGCTCTATTGAAAATAGCCATTAATGCTTTTTTCTCATTTTAAATTTCTTATACCTGTTATAAACTGATTTGCATGCTTATATCTGGTAATCTAAGCAACTAAATTCAGGACAACATTATGCAATATAATAACCATTGTTGAATTCTTATAATTTTGTAGAGTGTAATTCTATATCATTGCTAAAGTTTTAAAACTATTTTTTATTCTAAAGAACAGAAGCTTAAGAAAAAATTCACAGGATATTTGAGAAATTCATTAATCATATCAAAAGTATTGTATTTGTACATTCTCTAAAAGATAAAATAAAAGTTAAAATGTATTTGAAAACATCAAAAATTACCCAAGCATTTTCAAGGCATGAGTCTAACAGAATAGGCATTGACTCTAAAAACCAAATACATCTAGTAAAATGTGGAGGCTCTTCATCCCTAAGACACTCCACTTTCCAACTTTCCACTGTTCCTGTATATATCTGTCTCCACCTTCATTCTCTTAAGAGGAATCCTGAAGAGCCCTCTGAAGAACCACTTTGAGAGTCTGATGTTTCTGCCTAAAGGATCCAATTAAGAAGTAGATAATGGGGTTGGCACAGCTGTTAATACAGGACAGGAGAATTGTGACAGAATGAGGACGACAAAGGAAGCTATAAAGGGGGACTGGGAGCCAGAATAATAGAAACCAGGAAATGCCAAAGGGCAGGCCACAGAAAAGGAAGACTAGGACTGTGAAAAGAATGGTCACGTACAGCCTGGTTAGTGGAAGCCGTTGGGAACCACAGAAGATTCTTATTGCCATGGATAGGCTGCACACAAATAGAGTTAGAAATAGAAAAGTCATCCATGCAATTATGATAAAATCAATATTTTTCCAGGTAATAGTAGCAGAAATCTCATATAGAAAACCAGAGTAGTACCATTCTAGGATGCTAAGAACCAGAGATAGGGTCCAAAGTAGAGTACACACAACAACTGACATACATCTTGGACGGCAGCAGTGGTACCAGGTAGGTGATAGGATACAGAGGCAACGCTCTATGCTAATAGCACTGAGGATGCTCAATCCTGTGATGTATGGAGTAGTTGCAATGTTGACAAAGGTATCAGGATGAGATATATAAAAGCAATCCAAGCACAGGAAAATCAGGGAGTTAATAAAATGGCAGCAAAGGAAAAGGAAGTCAGATGAAGCCAGGTTGAGGATGTAGACTGAGATGGCATTCCTGCGCATACAGCATCCCAGGAGACTGATGACCACTCCATTTCCTGCCATCCCCACCAGGGCAATGATGACAATCAGAATATCTGGGATCAAAGTCTTAACACAAGTCAGATTTAAGGACTGGTTACTTCCATTCACTGTTGTGGTTTCCATCTCCTCTGGTGTCATGGTTGGGTCCATGCTGACAAACCCCTCACTGGTGTACCTGAGAATACAAAAATTTTGAGAACATACTCCATGGTATCTTATTTTCAGGACTACTTTGTCATATGAGAAATATTGTTCCTATTAAAAAAAGTCAGGTTGCAATGATTCAGTAATCTATCCAGAGCTTTGTGGTCCTGGATTAACTAGTACTAGATATGAACATGGTCTTTATTGACTCTGCATAATGATCTTTCTCTTCCAAATATAAATTTTCTAAAGCATACAGGACCAGTCTGATAAACACTTTCACTCAGTAGGCTGGAGCTTTGGACTCAACACTATTCTGCCCTGGATCAGAATTTTTTTCTCAATTTCAGAAATACATAAGGACATGGAAATAATCATGACATCACCCTAAGAATGTTTCCTTTGTGGAGAATAACAGAACAGCTTTCTGTGGAGCTGTTAGGTAAATATAATCTCACATAGAAGATTTTGAGGATGGTTGGGCCTGCAGAGCTAGAGATCACAATGAATGTCAGCCTTGAGAATGAGGGTGTATTTATATTCCCAGGGGTCAACGCTATAGTACATTGTGTACTAAATAGTTTTTCAGGAAAGGAAAAGCATGAAAACCCTTACAATCATGGATGATTCAGTTTAAATGGGAAACAAATGAAATAATGTAAAACATATCATGTTAATAAAATTTCATTTATCATAATTATTCTTGTGGACATATCTGTGCTTACAAGAAATATCCAAAGTTGACCACTAAAGTCTTTTCAAAGTAAGGATTAAGTATGAACTTAGGAATTAGAATCATCTCCACTTACAGAGGATGGATTAGATTTGTGTTGCAGCCAAATTGTTCCATAGTTTAGAAGAGAAAGTAGTAAAATAGAGTGGTGTCTAGTGGTATAGAGTAGTGAGTTAGACTGGCATCTGAATGTCTGACAAAGAGATATTGGAAACATGGCAATGTCATGAGGCACTATCAAAGGGGTCACTGTAGAGTATACAACATAATCTTACTCCACTTAATCCTGTACATAGTCTCAGAAGATGTCCTTAGTGTACTTCCTTTCATCATGAGTGATTATGTGAAAAAGGAGTCACAAAGAGAAAGCAGAAACAGGCAGGGTTTGTAATAGGAAGGGAGATGTTTATGAAGATATTAAGTACAAAAAGAGGACCAGCTTGCAGTTCCATGAGTAATAGTAGCTGAGAGCTCATTAGGCATTCTCCTGTAATCATCTCAAGACCCTACAAGTGAGAAATTAGTATTTTTCCTTTTTTAAATGTATTTCATATAGGTTCTCACTATGCCGCTTGGAAGCATCTAGTAATGATCATCTTGTTTTCAGCCTCCCCAGCACTGAGACTATAAGCATGTGCCACCATGCCCGGTCTGCATGGCCCACACAGTGTGACTAGGGTCAGAGCCAGCACAGCCTGTGGTGCTAGGGATCAAATCCCAGTTCCTGCGTTTGCCAAAGCAAGAGTTTAGTCCACTGGGCTATCTCACCAGCCCATTTATTTTGCTATTTTGAAGAGAATGGAACTAGGAAAAAAAAGGAGTGGGGAGGACCAACTTGTTCTTGGTTTCATAGTGTGGATTTTCACACAGTATATCTGCCTTAGGGGCTACACTTTGATGAAGCCCTTGGACCCTCCACTGCCATGTGTCAGTTATAAGCAGATGAAACAAGAGCACAGAAGTAATGCAAGGCAAGCCAAGTGCAACAATAAAGTTTTAAATGATTAAATCAAACATAAGTAAATTCTATAAACAAAGAGAAAAAGAAACTAAAGAAACAGCACAATAAGCAATAGGGTAGAATTAAATTATCAATATATTGTAGAATTCAAGGACGGTCACTTGTCTCAAAAGGTAATTGTGGCTCTAAAATTCTAAATAAGAGCTGAATCAGACACACACAAGTGGAAAGAGAATGTATCCTTTGATCTGAAGAGAAGCATCCCGGTGGAATGCATCCCCCATGAACTCCCTTAGAAAGACAAGCTCCAAAAATTCCGGCTGTTTTTAAGTAGAAATAGGAAGAAAGAGAAGTTCCATCACTCCCATTGAGATATCTATTAAGTTGAACATCTGTTTCTAGGGCTTGATGTCTACCTCATCACACTTGAAGCTCCACAAAGTGATTATTCCTGTTTTCCTCATTTTTTTTCATTTTTATTCCTTGAGATTTAGCATGTACTCCTTAAGGGTTGTCTGGTGTAGTGCATTCACTTAGCACAGGAAGAAACTGAGTGTTGCACTTTGTGTCTACTTGTCCCCAAGAACCTCATTCAGTCATAGAGCAGACTTCTAGAGGCTGTGATTTATTCATGATGTAATGCTGGGATTATGGATGTGGGTGCTGCACCTATCCTGGGCTGGATACACTGACTTCAATATACAGAAGGAAAGAAAGCTTGCTCTCAGACACTGCTCCTGCCTCTGCTCATCTCTCTAGCTCTTCCTCTTTTGCTGTTCTGCTGTTTTCTGCCACCATGAAATACTTCCCTCTGACCTGTGCCACTCTGCTTTGGTGCCACCTGATTATGGATTGAAACCTCCATAAATGGTGAGCTGAATAAACTTTTCCATCCTTAATTCTGGGTGTCAGGTAATTGTTCCCAGCATAAAAAAGTAATTGAGACACTGAGGTTTAAATAGATAAATGAATTTTCCTGAAAACATATCATAAGTGTACACATTATGCCAGCCCCTGGAGCCCTGTGAAAGACTTTTCAACTGTTCTGTACCAGGCAAATTTTAGTTTATGAGAATCTCCCAGAACACTTTATCTGAATCAAACTCTGAGATGAATTTAGCAGCCAGAGAGACTTTTAGTATCCTCCAGTCTCTATTCTTCTAACATATAATATAGTGATTTCCTGAATTTTAAATCAAATAAAAATGGTGACATTTCTCAGTCATCCTTGATTCTGGTTTTGACCAAGTCAGAAGAGGATAAGGGTGATGTAACTAACTTCTGAGTCACTGTGTTAATCAACAAGGAAATAGCCTCTGCTTTTTCTCTTCTTCCTCAAGGCTGAAAAGCTGATGCCCATGGCAGTATGTGGACCACAAGAGTGATGGTGCTTCTCTTGGGTTTTGAGAGCAAAAAATATAAGAAGCTTTTTAATCTGCTGCTTTGGAACATCCAGGAAAGTCTAAAATATTTCCAAATTAAGTTATTACTTTATTTGTGTAGAGTGACATGTTTGCTTTATCCAATGTAAAACACTTACCTTCTTCAACTTACATTCATTGTCAAAACAGTTCTGGTCAATGAAGTGAATGCTCAGCAAAAGTGAGAGTAAAGAAAGAATTCTCAAATAGGGATACAAGCTCAAATGGAGATGAAATGAAGAATGATTCACTGATATTTACTGATATTTTAAAAAATGCAAAGGAGTGGAAAGCTATAAGAAAAATGAAAAATGTGTCCCATTGCCATGAAGATTCTCATTGTGTCCTTCTGTACCCTGTTTGGCACCCTAAGAGTCTGCCTCCCATGACCTTCCTCAGTGAGATCTTTTTGCTACTATTTGTGGTTGAGTTGAGTCACTGGGAGACACTAATAGGAGTATGGTGTGCAAGAAGAAAGAGATGTTATTTTCATCTCATTGTCTTCTTGTGGCCCTTGTTTTGCCAATGGTAGTGTTTCTCCTCACTTCATTATCTTTTGCTGCTGCTACAACTTCATATATAACTACACTCTTTTGGGAGAATGAGTTTTTCTTTATCCATTTAAATTTAGAGCTGTAAACAACAAAATTTCTATTCATTAAAAGTGCACAATTGATTGGTTATTTTTTCTCATTTTTGTCAACAGTCATGTAAAACAATACTCATCCATTATTGTTTGAATCAAACATTTCTTCCTGTACTTCTCAAAAATGCAAAGTAGAATAACTTTGATGAGATAGTAAGGCAATAAAAATTGGGTATCTAACAGTTTAGTTTTGGGCAACAGTGCTGTCATATTACCTTGCATTTTACATGAGCATAAGAGATAGCAATGTTCCATAACAAGGATTTGAATAGTTAAGATAAAGGGAAGACTATGGTTGGATGGCCCAAAAAGGACAAAGAAAGTCCATTTGACCCCATTTCAAACTCCTACAGTTGGGTCTGCATGCCTTCAGTTTGTGGAAAGAAGCTTCTGTCTGCTGCTTTTCACTGCAGGAAGGACCATGTCCTCCCGTGTGTAAAACCACAAGGTGAAAACACCAGTGTGTGGACTCACAGTTAATACTTAAGCTGGAACCCTAACTGTCTTGTATTCACTCTTACCTTTCTGCCATTCCTCTGTCAAGTGTGGTAGAGAGCACCATTTGTAGAAGAAGAGCCTTTCTCAGGTTGAGTGGCTGCACAATATACTTGCTCCCAGTCATGAGATGATTTCAGGAGCCAGAGTAAAAGCTGGAGAGCACGAAATATATGTCAAGATTTTACACATTCCCTGAGACTTCCTGTACAGGAGCTAACAATAAATCACACATTAAAGCCATCTAAGATGAGACCTCCCTTATTGTCACTCATCCATCATCCTCTGCCATTGTACCATGTCCTCCTAGGAATCACTGTTCTGTTCATTAATTGCCAACTGAAATCCTATGTAGCACCATCAAGCAATTTGGGCCCGCACAGGAGCTTCACAACTAAAGAGGATATCACACATGACATTGAGTCAATCAAGGTTCATCCTGGGCTTGGCTCTTACCTTTTTTTTTTTTTTTTTCTTTATCATAGCAGTAAGACAATCATATGTAAGCTTTCACTTTAAATGACAAAGAAAGAAATGTATGCAAGGTCAAAACTTCTCTGAATAACTTTCTCTGGTAGCCATTGCTTGTTGCCTTTGCCATTTTAATTTTTCTATTACTGC